TGAAATCATCGCCTACTACAATGAACATATGTGAAAGAATATACCATGAATTTGAACAGTCATCCCCATCCTTACAGGATTGGAAATCGAACACAATCCAAGGTTCTTCTGGAGAGTTGGGAAACTGACAAAGTTATTGACGGCCTGAAGTCTGATGTCAACTACCTGGTGGAGCTGTCAACTGTTAGTTATGGAGTCACCAGTGAACCGGTCGTTTTCAATATCACAACAAGTAAGGAAACGTGCATAATTGATAGATATGCTACAGATCATGATGTAGCATTTGCTGTATTGTTATTGTGTATAAAATCCCACATTTTAATCTGCTTATGATCGATGAAGGTTAGCAAATGACACGCAAATAGTACAGTGAAAATCGAAGCATACGTGAACATCCGATTGCCACACATTATGTCGCTTTAGTTCCATTTCTAAGAACGTTACTGTACTCATACAATGTTTCTTATTCAACATCATGGCATCTTTTAGCATACACAATAAAACCGCCTGCCGACGTAGCAGTTGTTACGACCACCACAGACTCCATCACGGTATCCTGGGCAGAAGCGTATTCGTCCATCGCCATTCTCAGCTACGAGATTCTGTATACCGCTATGGATGGTGCCAACTCAACCTGGCCCAGTTTCGCCGATTGGGACATCGTAACGGTAGGGAAAATCAGTCCTCAAACATCGTAACAATTTTCGTGTCGTTGTGTTTTGATCTGAATGTAACATGAAAACTGCTGAAGTCATTGAAGTTACAATGTATCAAATTGTACACTCAACTAAAGCTAAAGCATTGGTGTCCAAGAAATTCATGTGTTTTCTGCTTCAGGTATTGTATATGCAGAATCAAATCCAGTTGACAGACCTTACTCCTGGTTTTCCTTATTTGCTGGCGGTACGAGTAGTTGCCTTCGGTTCTACTGTTGAAAGGAGAAGCGACGAGAGTACAGTGGTCGGCTTCACCAGTAAGTATTATTATATTAACCGAAACCAACTATATGATGTCTGGAGAGAAACATATCCAGAGAAACTACAGTTTACTTGGAGAAGATTGAAACCCTCAGTAGCTTGTAGACTGGACTTTTTTTTAATCCAGAAATCCTTTAAAAGTAGAGTAAGCGGTACCGACATCAGACCAGCTACACGCACGGATCATCAAGGGATAACAGTCAAAATAGACACTAAAACAGAAGGCAGAGGGCCTGGACTATGGCGATTTAATAACAGTTTATGCCAAGACAAGAATTACAGAAAAATGTTAATACAAATAGTGGAACATTTTCAAAATAGATACAAAGAAGAAGATAATAGAACACTGTGGGAACTATGTAAAAGGGTATTAAAGAAAAAACAATTCAATACAGTAACAAAAAGCGCGCCTTCGCTCAAAATGTGTGCGAACGCTCGAAAAAGAACTTCTAGATTTAGAACGACAACTAAACGACAATAACGAAATTTT